ACTGCCGTCCTCAAAATCACTAACGACCTACTAAACGCCAAAGCCAAGGGCGACTACTCTGTCCTCCTTCTCCTGGACCTCTCTGCGGCCTTCGACACAGTCGACCACCCCCTCCTCCTTAATAAACTACTCTCCCTTGGCATCAGAGATACCGCTCTCTCCTGGTTCTCATCCTACCTATCCCGACGCTCCTTCAGCGTCACCTACAATGGCGCCACCTCCCCCTCCCTCCCCCTCTCTGTTGGGGTTCCTCAAGGCTCTGTCCTTGGACCCCTTCTCTTCTCCATCTACACCTCCTCCCTGGGCACACTCATACACTCCCATGGCTTCAATTATCACCTCTATGCTGACGACACCCAAATTTACCTCTCCACCCCTCTCCTCACCCCCACTATCTCCGCCCGCATCACTCACCTCCTAAACGACATCTCAGACTGGATGTCGCTCCATTTCCTCAAGCTTAACCTCTCCAAAACCTAACTCCTCGTCTTTCCCCCTGCCCACACCCCCCCCCCCCCCAGCCTATCCATCACCACCACCAACACCACTATCACTCCCGCCCTGCAAGCCAAAGTCCTTGGCGTCATTCTTGACTCGAACCTCTCCTTCCTCCCTCATGTCAAATCACTTGCAAACACCTGCAGGCTCCATCTCCGCAATATTGCCAAGATACGTGCCTTCCTCACCCCAGACAACACCAAACGTCTTGTACACTCCCTGATTATCTCACGCCTTGACTACTGCAACTCTCTTCTCACTGGCCTACCCAAGTGCAGGCTCTCCCCACTCCAGACCATCCTGAACTCAGCGGCCAGACTCATCCACCTCACCACCCGCTCCACCTCTGCCACCCCCCTCTGCCTCTCCCTTCACTGGCTCCCGATTGTCCAACACATCAAATTTAAACTTCTAATCCTGACCTACAAAGCCGTTCATAACACTGCCCCTGACTACCTCACCAACCTGATCCCCAAGTAACACCCTACCTGTACCCTTCGCTCCTCACAGGACCTCCTTCTCTCCTGCTTCCTGGTCTCCTCCTCCCATGCACGACTGCAGGACTTCTCCAGGTCCTCCCCTATCCTCTGGAACTCACTGCCCCAATCCATCCGACTGTCGCCTTCCCTCCCCCACATTCAGGCGCTCCCTCAAAACCCATCTTTTCAGGGAAGCCTACCCCACCCTCACCTAACGGTCTTTCTCCCTCATTCCTCCCACCACTTCATCCCCCTCAGCTACTTCATTCCCCTCAGCCACCTCCTATTGTTCCACTACCCCCTCCCTCCTAGATTGTAAGCTTGAAAGAGTAGGGCCCTCTTACCCCTCGTACGCTGTCTTTCTTTGTTGTACTGTGCCATGTATTGTCCCCCCTATTGTACAGCGCTGAGCAAACCCTTTGGCGCTATATAAACTCGATGTAATAATAATAAATAATCTATTCTGTGGATAAGGGAGATGGGGTGGTCGTGCTGGATAAAACTGATTATGTGACTGAGATGAACAACATTCTCTCTGATCACTCCACATATGTCCCTTTAGGGTCCAATCCTACAAATAACTTCAAGAAGGATTTACAAAAAAATGATAAACGAAGGTTGTGTGGAAGGTATTTTAAACAAGAAGGAGATAGACTATTTAATTCTTATGCCCCCCTCCCCCCATGTACCTGTGATTTATTACTTACCAAAAGTACATAAGAATCCTACTAAGCCCCCTGGACAGCTTATCATAAGCAGCATTGTTTCGTTGACATCAAGGATTGGGAAATATATTGATGAATTTTTTACAGCCACTGATCCTAAAAATGCCCACTTTCTTGAAGGACACAACCCATGTCCTGAACCTATTAAAGGGGAATGATTGGAAGGAGGGATATACCTTGGCCGCAGCAGATGTGGCGTCTCTTAATACAATCATTCCCATGATCAGGACTTGGAAGCTGTTGGATATTATTTAAATCAGAATGGATCTCTGTCATAGAGGCAAAGAGATTTTGTCATTCAGTTTCGGGGCTCCATTTTCCTGCAGAATTGCAGTGTAGCGATGAGATCTAAGTTTGCCCCAAGCATGGCTAATCTTTTTATGGCCAAGTGGGAGGAGGATGTCATCTTGAAAGACCATCGATCCAAGTTGATTCTCTGGTGAAGGTACATTAATGACATCCTCCTCCTGTGGGAGGATGATTAGGACTCACTACAATATTTAATTTTGGGCTTGAATAATAACAGAGGTATCAAAATAGATTTCACAGCTAGTAAACAACATATTACCTTTTTGGATTTGAATATTGTGGTGGAGGGTGATAATATCATTATCACCACACATTCCAAAGAGACTGATCGCAATGGCTTTATTTCTGTTGATTGCTGTCTTGCCTCGTGGCTGAAGGCAGTTCCAAAAAGCCAGATTTTCAGATTGAGGCGCAATTGTACCTTTCAAAGGGATTATTTCCTTCAGGCACAGAATTTAAAATCACGTTTTTTAAGAAAAATTATACGTGTACTCTAATCCATACAATTAACGATGTGGCCCTCATGGATAGGAACCAGTTATTAAGTGGAGCCAATAGATGGGATTTCCAAGATGCCTTCTTTGCATGTTCCTTGGTGACCTCCTATTCAACACAATATTTCCTTAAAAGGATTAAAAAACATTGGCCCGTTCTCAAACATTACGGTATATTAGGACATTTCTTACCAGAATAACCTTGTATTATTTAAAGAAGAGTTCCACCCTTGAGACATAGGATAGCCCCAAATGTTGTTTGTGAGAATAAAAACATTAATTAGCCACAAAAATATGGTTTATATGCTTTAATGTAAGTGTGGAAAACAATATGTGGGCTGTACCATTAGGCCTCTACAATTAAGATTAGGAGAACATGTAGGAAACATTAGGCTTGTTTTTTCCAGATACAGTGGGGTTTATTTACTAAACCTGGTTGACTCAGAATCTTGGGCACCTGTGCATGGTAGCCAATCAGCTTCTAACCTTAGCATGTTCAGTTAAGCTTCAGCAATAAAACCTGGAAGCTGATTGGGTTTTATGCAGAAGTGGACAAGATTCTGAGTCAAACAGGTTTAGTAAATAAACCCCAGTGTGTCCAAACATTTTGATAGATGTTACAAAAGGGATCTGAGTGACATTCTATATTTAGCCATTGACAAGTTAACCCCACATTGGTTGTCATGTGGTTGTCTCGCTGATGGAAACGCAATGGATTTACCATCTCAAGACATTCACCCCATTTAGACTGAATGTCGAATGGCATGTGAATTGTTTTATTAATAACAGCTAATGGTCATTCTTTTAATATCCCCCCTCCCTTTATACAGTTCTATGGGTATTTTCTCTTTTTTTAGCATGATTTATTTGCTTATTTGTTCTTATCTTTCAATGGGTGGATTGTAGAATTTTCTCTCTATACACAGCTTTTAATTTGTTTAAAATAGTTCCACTAAGCATCCTAACTCACTCTCATCATCATCGGATCTCTGAGGTGTTTTCCCTTCAGCATATTGGATTAGTGGGTGCCTTTTCCATTGACTTCTGGAAGCATCTTTTGCACCTTTTGTGGACTGTTTGTAATATTTGAGCACGATTTGTCTATGTTGGACTTCCAACTTTGATGATCATTCTTTTGATTTTTGTATTGATCATTGTTTTCAGAATAGTACTGCACTCTTTTAATTATATTTGTGGAGTTTTGTTGTATCTGTTAACCTATGCCAGCAGCTTTTTTTTTCAACTTATTACAATAAATTGTTTTTAATCAGCAGAAATACACGTTTATATTGGTTAATGTTAGCAATTTTGCTGAGAGAGATAAATTCAAGAGAAACAGAAAGAATAGATGGCTTACCTTTCCTAGAGAAAACACTGCTCCATCCAGTGCTGCTGACATAATGAACCATGGCATTTGATCACATTGTCAGCGTTCAAAGGAAGAACCAGAATTCAGCATATTACCCATTCATCAGAGAAATCAAATGATCAAAAGCTGATCCTTGCATACATTTTAGGCATATGGTGAATAGCTCTACAGGTTTAGTTCCAAAACCCACAGGCAAGTAGTGTCCTATGAATGAGCACACAATATTTACCATGTCACTTTAGTGATTCTGACACTTGGGGGGGATTCAATAAATTCCTAGCAACAGTTTTCTGGTAGTATGGTCCTTTAGAATAGCCTATGCCAGAATAAAAAATTCCTGCCAACCGTTTCAGTAGCTTTACCAACATCTGTGGCAGATTCAGGTAGCTATAACAAGCCCGGAGGTAATTAAGGGCAACTCTAGAAGATGAATGCATCAGCAATGGATGCAGGATGTGTCCCCAGAGGTGTATGAATTGTGCATATGCAAATACTGTACTAATGTATTCCTGTTGAGCACGCTGACAGCTGCAAATGCACAGACTCCATTCAAAAGTCCACTGTTCACTTTTTTTTTTTTGGATACACATAACTGGATAATTCAAGTGAACACAGCTTCACCTTCTGAATAAGGCTAAGCCAACATTCACTTTCCACAAATAACATACACTTTTCAATGTCCACTGCTACCAAAGAACCCCAAGAGCAAATTTCTATTTGTAACCATGTGAATCCTTCTGCATGTCTTAGGCCCCATCTGCTTGACTACAGGACCCACTTACTGAGCCTTGGATGTTGGTATAATTCCATGATAAATACACATGTTGACACTTAAATCCCAGGCTGATAGACATCATTGAACACAATGTATTTGATTTACTAAAGGAATATAAACTGTTCACTTAGCAAGTGAAATGTTCACTTTGGTAAGTGTATGTTCAATTAGCACAGAGAATGATCAGTTATAGTGAATAAACTGAAGCGCTGTTCATTTCAATCAACCAATCATGTGCAAGCAAAAAATAATTTTTTTTTGTAAATTTCCCTCACACATGATTGAGTGTAAAAAGTGAACATATCTTCACCTCATTCATTAAACAAAGAACAGTGTCGTCCTTTAGTAAATTAACCTCCCTGGAGGTATTCCCGAGTGTAGCTCGCGGTAAAGTTTCAGCACCACAAGCGGTAACCCCGAGCTACACTCGGGAATACCTTTTAGCGCTACTCCCGGGATCTCTTCTTCACTTTCCTTGTCCTTCGCTCCCACGATGTCCCTCCTGCAGTGTCCCCTGTGATGTCCCCCGATGCCGGCACCTGTCTTCTGGGTTCCATCCCCTTCAACGTCAGGACGTATGGGGACGGTACGGCGGGAAATTTAGAATGTGAAAAAGTGACATTCACAAAATACACTAAAATCACATAGTAAAACATTACTGTATCAAACCATTTCACATACATTTTGTCCCGAGTGCTTTGTCCTGTGCCCTGCCTGCATTTTTTACCGTTCTTTCTGCCTGGAAACTGAGAAATGTCCATGGCATCCAAAAAGCGTCCCGTTAGGTCAAATGCAGTTTTAGACCACCTAGAGAACAGCGATAGTAAATTAGAGCCACTTGCAAATTGAGCGAAAATGATTGAAATTCACAAAACTACAAACGATAAAATCACATGTAAAATAAAATTACTGTATCAAACCATTTATTAAATTATAATTTTGTGTTTCCCGAATGTTTACTAGACTGCTTTCAGTATTCCTTACAGGCCTGCCAATGCATTTTCCATGCACCGTACTCTTTCAGCGCAGAAATATGGAATAAATCAGACTGCTAGGGAGGTTCAATCCTCTTTCTTCCCCATTCTGATGTTCGGTGTGAACTTCAAAAAGTCGTCTTCAGATGCCTAAATTGAGTTGCTGCCACATAATTGGCTGATTAATCAAGATTTTGCGACTTTGCTCAGCGATGTGCGCACCTAGATATTTCAAATTTCAGTGATTATATTATTTAATTAAATTTATTATTATTACACTTGCAAGAAAAAAGTATGTGAAACCCCTTTAGGATTACAATGAATTGGGCATTTGCTAGTCATCAAGTCACAACTAGAAGAAACAGTTTTAATACCAACAAAACATTAGATGTTGCCATGGTTTAATTGCACATAAACATGTAAACTTCACAGTGCAGGGAGGAAAAAGTTGTGAAATTTGAATAATGGTTGACCCTTCTTTGGCAGCAATTCAACCAAACGTTTCCTGTAGTTGCAGATCAGACCTGCAAAATCTGGAGTAATTTTGGACCACTCCTCTTCACAAAACTGTTTCAGTGTAGCAATATTCTTGGGATTTGGTGTGAATTGCTCTCTTAAGGTCATGCCACAGCATTTCAATCAAGGTCAGAACTTGACTGGGGCCACTCCAGAAGGCGTATTCTGTGCTGTTGCAGCCATTGTTTTGTTGAATTAATTGTATGCTTGTTGAACCCATCCTCTGCGGAGCTTATTGGCATGGTCTATTTAATGCAAAATGTCTTGATTTGCAATTATTTTCCCATCAATGAAACAATCCTTAGGCAGCAAAGCAGCCCCAAAAATGTTTTACAGTGGGGATGAGGTTTTGATGTTGGTGTGCTGTTTCTTTTTTTCTCCACACATAGTGTTGTGTGTTCTTCCCAAAACTCAATCTTGGTTTCATCTGTCCACAGTATATTTTGCTTGTCTGTGGAACATTCCAGGTGCTCTTTTGCAAACTTCAAACGTGCTGCATGCAAATTCTTTTTGGACAGCAATGGCTTCATTCCGTGGTGTCCTCTAAAAAAATGTACCGCCATTCTTGTTTAAATATGGTGTCACATAAAAAAGAGCATGTGCCAGAGATGCTAGGGAGGTTCAATCCTCTTTCTTACCCATTCAGATGTTCGGTGTGAACTTCAACAAGTCGTCTTTACCATGGACACATCATAGATGCCTAATGCATTGAGTTCTTGATCGTAGGTCTTCTGAGAGCTTTTTCTGCGAGGCATGGTTCACATAATGCTTCTCGAAACCAGTAAACCCAAAACAGGTGTGTGTCTTTTAAGGGCAGGACAGCTGTCATCCAATATTCACACTGATTGGAGTCAAGGTTGCCACATAATTGGCTGATTAGCAATTTGGCTCACTTTTGCGACTGGCTCAGCGATGTGCGCACTTGGAGCTATATTTCAAATTTCAGTGTTTTGGTTTGATTATATTATTTAATTAAATTTATTATTATTATTCATTAACTTATTTTTATGATTATTTATTAAATTATAATTTATGATTTCGTGTTTCAAATGTTAACATACCCGGGATGTTTACTAGACTCTTGTTCGGACAGATTTCAGTGAGTTATTACTAAAAATTACAGGTCTACAATAAAAAAAATACATATTTCCATGCAAAAAATGTACCACTTTGAGCACAGAAATACTGACATAATCAGACCGCTAGGGAGGCTACCACCAGTGTCTGTCAATTAGTCAGTTACTTTAAGCAATATCACACCCTATACAGTACATTTGGAGAAATAAGAATCCCTCTGGGAGTTCAGGGATTGGTATGAATACATTTGTGCTGTGGTCTTGACCATTTATATGGTGATGAAACTCCAATATAAATTATATTTTTTTATTTTACAAGAGTTACACTAGTTTCTATATAAATGTAAAAGGACTTAAAATTTGCCATACCTGTATATAGGGCTCTGATCCGATCGTACACCCAGGCAAAAGTGTTCAATAAACTGCACTCAGCGCCTCAGCCTACCATGTAACAGGATAGTTCTGTGTCTGATGAAATATTTATTCCTTATTGTCATGCTGAATTACCATCATTTCCTGACAAACTAAAAGAGTAAATTCAAATAAGATGTGTTCATGAAACACAAAGGTTCATTCGGACACCAAGACCAATATTCTGTTGTTTCTTAAGCACATGAAAAATGCTGAAACACCTTTTTATTTGCGCTGATCTATCGTTCCTCTGTCTACACACCTTACAATCCGATCTAGCGAATGACAACTATTCTTTGTGTTCAGTTTTTTTGTTTTTTTACATTCCTTTTCATTACTGTTCAATTTCATTTTCTTTTCATTCTTTTGAATGGAAGAAGTTGGATAGGTTGAGAATTTCTGATTGCTTTCAAATATTTAGTGTAGCGTGTGGTGTATTAAATCATTTTTTTATTTGGACATGTATTTCTCTATTAGTTTTTAAAGAGGAATTTTAACAGTGACCAATTTCATCAGTGTTTAACTATAAGCTTAGATTCGCTCTAGTGCTGCTACATAATCATGTGTTTTTCAATGTATTTTTGATGCACTTTCATGCTGCGTGCATTTATTTTGTAAAAGGAGTAGACTTGTTAAAGTTTTTTCAAAATAATAAACATTGCATACTTACCTCCCCTGTGCTTTTGCACAGAGCATCCACTATCCTTTTTCTCGGGTCCCCGCCAATGCTGTCGGCTCCTCCCCCCTGCCGAGTGCCTGCCCCCATAACAAGCTGCTAGTACTCCATGGATCAGCACACAAAAGGATTTTACCTTACTGCAGAGAATGTATTAAGGTAAAAAAAAAACCTTCTACCTTTAGAACCACTTGAAAGACAAAACCTTGCCAAAAACAACAAACAAAATGTGTGAACAGGTGCTTACTGACCATTTGGAAACTCGGGCCCTATGAGATGCCCCATGGTACCTTTTTCATAAGCTTTTATGAGTTTGGGCAAGGACACAGGGGCCCCATGAACCCCTATTGCCCAGGGGCCCCATGAGTTGTCAGTCCGCCCCTGTGTGTGAACATACATTTTTCATGCATTTTTTTATGTGTTCCCATTGAGGTCTATGGGGCCAAAAATGCACTATGCCTGCACCTACACCTTTTCTGAAATCTCACTGCCCCATGTTGCATTGATGTGAATTGAGACCATAGAGAAGGTTTTTCTAAACCTGGGTTCCTTTTCAGGGGTTGCTAGGGGTTTCTTGAGCAATGGGCATATTCTGTATCTCGGATAAGCTTCTGCTGACACTATTGATCTTTTTAGCTATCTGTAAGGGATAATTCTTCCCAAAGATCTGTATCACACTGATCATCACTCTAATGTATCATAAGTTGCAGATATAGCAATTATTAGTAGGGGTTTCTTGGGACCAGAAAGCTATTTCAATGGGTCCTCTGTGTTCAAAAGGTTGAGAAAGGCTGCCATCAAGAATAATGTGATTTTCACTGTTGTGCATTCCAGTGCAGAGGCAGGAGAAAGTGCACTAGTGTGAAAAGGCCCTAAAGGTTTAAAGCAGAACTGCAATGTGCAGGAATCTATATGTTTATACCCTCACCTCCTTCTCCTACCCCCCTGCCTGCTGTGCAGCTTTCTGCCATTATTTTAAAAAAATGTTTGGGGTTTTCTACAATAATACTTGAGAGAAAGAGGGGTCACATGGCCATCTATGCTTCTTTATCATCATACTGTGTACTGGCTGGTGGGAGGAGCCAAGAGAAACCATCACATACCTACAGTAACACCCACAATGGCAGTGAATTCCTGTACAAACACAGCTTTGCCAAAATGTAAATAGCCGAAGACCGTAAACTAGAGCAGTGGTATTGCATTTACTGTACATACTGCATATAGAACAACACAATCGCATACGCTGTCAGCTCCTGAGGAGTTCCTGATTCCAGCACTTGAAGCAAAACTAAACTCTGCTATACTTACTTTGCATCAACGGTCCACGCCCATGAGGTACCTCGACAGTGCTAGCATCTTCTCTCTTACTTCGTCTGGGTGCTGGTCTTTGGCCATCTTGATTGCCCAGAGCATGATGATGTCACTTCCTGCACATGCGCAGGAGTGCAGTCATCCTGCATACAGGCATTCTGCCAAAATGTAGATTGAGCTGTGAAAGCGCAACATTCTGCGGAAGACTGTGAGCAGGCAGGTAGGCTTAATTGCAGAAGAGACATTGCATGTCTCTGCTGCAATACAGAGCCAGCCAGTAAATTTTTTGTAAATATATTGTATATAGGTGAGCTTTATATCAACGAAAAGTTGCTAACACAAAAGGTGAAGGTAACAACACCTGTAAAGTATGGTACAAAAGTGCAAAATAAATTAAGTGATGTCAAGTGAAACAATTAAGTGCACCATACAAAGTGAAAAAAACATCCTTTAGTCTTGCCCATCCTTTAGTCTTGCCCAGTCGCACTGCAGTCGTCGAACATTAATATCATAAAGCCACTATGGTCAATTTTGGAGAACAAGATACATGCTTATTTTTCACATTCACCTTTGGCATCTCTGTGAGAACTGGAATGATTTTTGCATGAAGAAAGGTCAGATTCTATTATCCACCATCCAAGACTTACACTCGTCAATTCCCAGGAGAATTCATGCTATCTTGGATGCCAAAGGTGGTCTAACACCATATTCGGTAACGA